TTCGCAATCCAAAGGGCGTGGGTTCGAATCTCCACAACATCGTCGGTTTCAAAGTAAGTTTAGAGTTAAAACTGTTTCCAAGTGTTAATGTATATGTTCTAAAACTTGATATATACTACATTGTCCCATAAAAAATCAATTTTTGGCGGCAAAGGGGGTGAGGGGTGAAAAACTACCCCAATTTACAATTTAGATGGACATATGGATAACATACATGGAACTCGCACGGCACATGTATTACACATACATGTTACTCGTATGGGACATACAAGACCAAAACGTATGGTGACTTACATGTCTGTCACACATGGTACATACACTTGGAAAGTTTCACGGGGACTGAACCTACCCAGACTGACTCTGCTTGCCGGAGATGGAGGCGGGGGCAAGGGACGGGAGGAAAGGGCTGAATGATATTAAGAAGGCTGTGAAAGTCAGAAAGGGAGAGGAAAGAAAGAGACCGACAGAGATTCCGCAGCTCCCCGGTGCCGCCAGCCAGCCAAGGCAGCATCTGCCGAGAGAAAGAGAGGGAAAAGCGAGAGAAAGAGAGGAGCGGTCTGATTGGGGGAGGCCTCTCAGGGCGAGAGTGAGGCTTGGTTGGAGCGGGGGCGCCAGCGCCATTTAGCGCAAGGTTAGACCAGAGTCTGGGGAGGGAACTGGAAAAGTAGAGGCGGGCGAGCAGAGGGGAGCAGTGGGGGTCAGAAGAAGAAGAAGAAGAAGAAGAAGAAGCCAGGCGGCTTAACGTGGTTTACGGCTCGTATTAGCGCCCCTGCCATCCCAGCCGCCCCCTGCTGCTGGCCTGTCCACCTGCGCTTCGGCCCCGGCGCCGCGTGACGCAGCACAGCATTCAGTTACACGTCCAACAAGCACACGGGTTTTGTATACCGTCCTGGTAAAGAAACAATTTCTGGAAAAGGTTCTGTGCTGTTTTTGACTAAATCCATTTCAAGTGGCTGTCTATAAACCACATTTTGGACACTTTTCTACCCTTTCCCCTGTCCCCACTAGTGAACTAATGTTGCATTTTACCAAAACCCTTCTCTATCCCCCTCGCCTCGCTCATCTGGTCTATGGCTAGGCACCAAAGGGAAATCCACAGTGGATTTTGCGGCAGACTGTATTGCAACGTAGGTAGAAACACAACAAGGCAAGGTTCCCGTTGATTTTGTTTGTTTTATACCTTTGTTATGTATAGGATAAGCAACAACGGCTCGGTATGTCGGAGCCACCTCCACATCGCACCGCCGCTCCGTCTCGCCGCACCGCCTGTCACTGAGAGCTTATGCAACCCGCGCAACACGAGTGCTCTGCGGAGCGGCGGTGGTGGTGGTGGGAGTGCCCCGCACCCACACCTCTCCGGCATGTCGGCGCGCGCGTCTCTGCGGCCGCCGAGGCCACAGAGAGGAGGGCGGGCGGTGGCGACGGAGAGGAGCGTGCTCGGGGACGAATGGCGGACGAGCGACGGCAAGGTCAGCGTCAGCGCCGAAGGAGAGCCTCTGGGGCTTGGACCCGCCGCTAGGACCCGCCGCGTGACCAGGAGGTCGGGGGGCGCCGCGGGCCATCAGGGGCACACAGATGGATGGCGAGCTGGGCCCCCTCCGCGCGGGAGGGGCGGGGTGGTCCATCACTTCAGCCAGGCCGGGTGAGAGTCCACGCGCCCGGAATCATTCATGCCTCGGCAGGCTAGGCCGGCTAGAAATTGCAGTCATCAGCGAGGAGAGTAGGAGAGAGAGAGGGGGTGCGGAGAGAGAGGGGGGGGGAGAGAGAGGAGGCAGAGCCGCCAGGCCGCGCTTCGCTACAATCCTTCAAGTCCCCCCGCCCGCAACCTCCACAGGCTGCCTGCAGGCAGCCCGGGCCCCGGGCCCAGCCTCGCCCTATCCGACCCCGCGGCGCCCCTGGAGCTTACTGGGGGGAGCCGAGGGCCGACCGCGCCCCGCCCCGCCACGCTCCGCCACGGCCCCTTTATCCGCCTCCACCAAACACCGCCGCGCGCCGCCACGCCAGACCACCGCCAACACCAGCGGGCCCCCTCCACTCACCCCCGCGGGGGCCCCGCGCAGCCCCAGCGGGCCCGCTATACGGGGGCGGAGAGGGGGATCCGACCAGACTCTGCGCGGGCCGGCGCGGGGCCGCGGGGCGGGGCGCGGCGGGGCGCGGCCGGGACGTGCGTGGGATGGGTTGCGGTGGAGGGAAGCGGCCCGCCCGGGGGGAGGACGCCATGGCGTGGGTTGGCGCCCGGCTGGACGGGTCGGGTCGGGCCGGCAGGCCATGGTGGGGCCCGCGGCGAGGCGGGGCGCGGCGGGGCGGTGGGTGGGGTCCCGTGCAAGGGCCGAGAGAGGGCTCGCCGTCCTGGCTCGCAAAACCACAGAGAGCGGCGCAGAGCCGCGCAGAGCCGCGCAGAGCGGGCCGGTGCGGGGCGGGGCGGCGCGGGGGGCTGCGGCAGCTGGCGGGGAGCGCTCTGCTCTGCTGTGCGGTGGCGGCAGTGTCGATGGCCCGAGAGCGACTCCGCACCAAATTTATATTCTTATCAGCCGTAGCACTCCGCAAAATTGAAGGGTGTTCCAAGAGCGCTGATGCAGCTAGCTACCTATATACTGTAACTGCAAAACCAAAACCAGTTGAACAATTTTAATCTACTGCGTTTGTAAATTCGCATAAGTGCCGTGGTAACTCTATTGTCAACAAACTACAATATCACTCGATAGTCAAAATTACAAAACCATAGTTTAGGTTTACTTTTGAAATTATATTTTTGTAAGTATGGGGTTACGATGAAAGTTAGTTACCCTGACAGTGGGGACGTCGGACTTGCAGGTCCCGTGTCATCGGGCGAAAGGTCACGGACAGCGTGTGTGGGAACGCTGCTGGGAGCGCTGCTGCAGCATCGCGGACCATCCCGCCGCGGACCAGCTCATGTACTCCGGGGGGTCAGCATCCGAGCCGCTTGGACCAGCACCGGTCGGACCGGACCCGGCCGGCCAGGCCGCTCGCAACACCGAGATTAAAGCAAACAGTACACAGAAACCATTCCTCTGAACTTTGTGGTATTTTGACCCTTTTGGGGCCTAGTGAAGGGTATTGAGAAATGCAGGTTGAGAAAAAATTGGGTTTGCGCATCGCTTATTCCCTATTCATTTCCGAGGTGTGACGAACCTCTCATCAAAAGGAGGAGTGTGGAACTGGATTTTATTGCTTACAACCAGAAAAATATTCAGAAACGATTCGATAAAATCTAGACCGTAAGCGATAACTTCAGACAAAATGTATACACTTTTCTGCCGTACCCTCGTCGAAAAACGATTTCGGGTTAGACTCATCGCCTCGAACTCCTAAACCTAAAATCAAAACCCAACCACCACAATAAGTGGTGCCTCTTACCTAATCAAGGTTAAAGCGTTGACAATAAAGTGAGTGGGCAAAATTACCGAACTACCTGTTCACTGTTAGTAGATTTCGTTATTTTATGATAAATTCCTCACGAACAGTTCGTATTATGCTTTTGCGAACAATGTTCGTCAAATCCAAAAATACGAACTGTTCGTAGGCAATAAACAAATTGATCGTAAATTTATAGACGCACATTTGTTGACAGGATTGCACAATGACATGGATAACTTAAATATCTAGGAAGAATTACGAACTTTTCGTCATTTAACAAGTATTCGTTTTCTAAGCAATAACGAAAAGTTGTGTATAAAATTTAACAGGTGTTTGTTCGTTAATTTACGATAAAATCCCCTACAGGGTTGTGGAGAAATGTTGCATACGGAGATCGAAATGTGAACCAATCGTAAGAATTTCTGAAGTTATCAATTTTTTGACAAAGAAGAACAGTTGTGATTCCACAAAGAGTTCTGGCAACTTTTTTCACACCGAATTTTTCGTGAAGTTCTGACTTTTCTGTAACAGTGCAGTGAGCAGTTCACGAACTGGCCCGCGTAGCCCTAGGATATCTATCCGGCCTGGAGCCCGCACCGGGTGTGCCGGTGGCCTCGCTAATTCTGCACAGTCTGCTCACGGCCATCCATGGCGCCAGGCACGCCAGCCAGCCAGGCCTCGCAACCCGAGCGGTCACTGGCGCCCGAGCTCCTGTTTGACCACAATGTTTGTTTGGTATGGAAGGCCCAGGGGGCGGGGGAGGGATTGGGGAAGGCGATAGGCTCGCACAGCGCATTGAGGTTGGGGGTGAGAAGTACAAGCGAGCAGCCCTCCCTCAGCTGGCCGTGCAGCGTCTGGCGGTACTTTGAACCCGGCTTGCGAGAATGTGAGCGAACTCAACACGAAAACACTTGCGCATAGTTGCACACACTGCACTTATTTGAACAATACTAATTGATATTAATATTTTTAAAGATAACAGAGATTGCATTTGTGGCAAAGTTTCCTGTTGCCATTTAACAGCAGATTTCTTACTTTTCAAAAAGAAAGAAAATCAGAAT